GGTAGGAAGCATGCGTGGCCGCGGAGCACGCTGGGACCGCGGCCCGCCCGCCGCGGCTGAGGGAGCCGCCTGTCTCCTTCCCTCCGCGCCCGGTGCCGTGCTGGGGTGAGGGGAGCGGGGCTTGGTTCTGAGGGAGAAGTTTTTCTAGGAATATTAAAAACAGGGTTTGGGTATTCACAACAAGATTAAGTAAAGCTGGAAGAGAAACCAACGGTGAAAGGCTAGTTTATTATTACGAAAGATATAGTGCACCACCGAGTGACAGACCACACACCAGAAAGGGCTGAAGACGCTTTAAATAAATATTTACTACAAAACAGTAGAGCAGAAAGCGTTTGGGACACTTTTTATTCAATATTGGACTACTTGGTGTAAGCTTCTGAATAAAAGCACCTTTTTATAGTTAAAACTGCTACCCTAGTCACTTAACTAAGTTGCTTGCACAACTCCATAAAATTAAACAATTCAAACAGACATTCATACCTTTAAAAGCAGCACTGTCAGGTCAGCCCTGATGTATTTATACAGCTGTGCTCTATTATTTCACATGTTCTTTTTGCCTATCCACAATATACAACTGCGGTATTATAATGGCAACTGATAGACTTTGCTGGTCAGCTGTGGTATTGTAACGGCAGCTTATCACCCTGCCTCCAGCCTGGAGTCCTCTTGCACCTCTAAGCCTCCTCCGACATAGCTGGGACAGCTCCTATGAATACACGGAACACGGGTCTTCACACGCTATGAGGCTTCACTTCCCAGAAGCTGCAAGCAGAGATTCAATATCCTGAATTACTTTTGAAGTTTTTTCTAAAGCCTCCAGGACGCACCCTTCACTGATTTCTTCCGGCTCACTCCTGTTTTCTGTTTTTCTGACAGTAATACCAGATGGATTGTTTTTTGCGGCAGATGTCCTTTCCAGAACATTGCTATTATCTAATAAAACTAGTGGTTTTTTTGTTAAGAAAAAGTATCAAAGGCTTCCTCCTAATGAGAAAAATACTTCTGCGTATTTATATTCATCATTCTGCATGCAGTCTCACATTTCATAGCATGGTAATTACATAAAACTAAAAAAGTATATTACTTAAAATGTCTACAACATTTATAGAAAATGTCTTTAACTAAGACTTCAATTTAGCCAAAAGTTACTTTAAAAAGGAAACTATCTGATGTCACACTGCACAGTTCAACAAAATGCACTTTCCTTACTAATAAAATTGAACACTGGCCTAAAGACAATTACAGAGTGGCTTTAAGAACATGGAGCACAGCACACTTTTTTGAGATGGCTGAACACAATGGAACAATACTGAGGTAACTGATGAACAGAAAGGCATTGTACTGCAACAACAAGCCCAAAGGCAAGTGCATCATCGCTTTTTCAAGAACAGATCAGCGGAAGAGTGTTAGCAAAATTAATGCAATACCCATTAAATGGCTTCCTTTTTTTGGTGATTTTTTTAGTTTTGTACCCTGCCACTGTTTTTGTTTCCCATGTTGTGATGCAGAAGTTGGACAAGATATATGATAAAACAAAAATGATAAAATAAGAAAACAAAAAATGGCTTAAAAGGTAGTTTTAAGAAGTGGGTAAGACAGTAAAAGAAGGTGAGAACAGGATAGAGAGCCTTTGATGATCTAAAATGCAGATTTGAATATGCAGATGAACAACAGAATATAAAAGTGAAAAATATTTACAGCTTTCAAAAAGATACAGTTAAATCTCTGTATTTTTTCGAGTTCAGCATCAGCAGACCTGTCCAAGAAAATAAAGATTATTAAACAATTTAGTATCATAAAAGGTTCTCAAATGTATTTTCTACTTCAGATTTTAATTTTTAATAGTTTCCAGCAAAACTGAAAATTAGACGAGCAAAACCCAAGTGAAAAAAATTATTTATTTTTGTCTTTCATACCACTAGTCAATGGCTGCCATTTGTCAACCATTTGTGTTTCCAAAAATCAGGGTTCTGCTCTAAGAATATCTCTTTGCTCTATGTATGTATAAATATAGATATAATTTTCGTTTCATCAGCTACTGAATCTCCCGTAATCTGAATAACAAGTGCAAGTGTAATTGATTTCAATTAACACATTTTTAATACCCGAATATGTTTGTATATGATGTCAGTAGACCTTTGGTCAGTAGTATGTATTAAAAAGGACAAATATATTAGTAAGAGATACAAGGGTCATTTAGCAGTTCAAAGTACTATTTTGAACTGTCTGGTGTCCTGTCAAATGACGCCCTTCTTAGTCTAGCTTGTCTTCTTCACCTTGCAAGATACTATCTCTGTAACATTAATCCTCCTTTGGCAAAGTCACCATAATTCTGATCTTTAAGTAAGGTAGGCAGAAGCGGAATGAAACAAGCTTCACCTAGAACTCAACTTACCTAACATTTTAAACACTGAAAGAAAAATATGAAACCACACAAAATGGACTTACAATTTTGATTTTTGACCCTTAGGAAATGCAGTCTATAAAATTCACAGTTTATAAGCTTTTTGAGTTTTATTTTCAACATTATGTGTAGTCAATAATTTAGCATAAAGATGAATACCAATTTTCTTCAGTTACAGAGTGTGCAGTATATTCAGGAATCTCCCTCCTTTCATTGAAACTTCTGCACCATTCTATTGCTGTTCTGATATACCTATGTTAACATGGAAATTCACAAAAAAGTAGTTATTTGTATGAGAAATACACTCTATTAATTCAAGCAAAAAACTGAAGGCATTAAGCAATACACCTGGATCTGAAAGAAAAAGCCATGATTCAAAATCTAGCTTTTTCTCTAGAATCTCGTTTTCTCCTTGCCATTTTTTGCTTCCCACTTTTTGTCTAGAATCTCTTTCATGTTTAAATCTATGCAGTTATAGACAATTATAACAAAGCTGTATGATTTGTAATGAATAGTGTACAAATGTTAATTTTTGTTTGTGAATATCTGCTTGCTAAAATGCAGCACAGTAAGCTGATGATGATTCCCATAATGAGGCTGTAACTAGAGCAAGCAGATTAGAGAAAGCAATCTGCAGGCAGAGGTCAGTATCTGTAATAGAGCAAAAACTGGATAAAGTGCTATCCAGTTCTATATACGAGCTCTATATAGGACAAAGATTTTTTTTTCCTTATCCACTGATCTAAGTGCCAAGTTGCAGCTCTAATTATTTTTTTAAAAAGACATTACTACAATAATTATAATGGAATGACAGCATGCAGTGGTCCTGAGTCATACAGGTCCTGAATCTTCACAGATGTAAGATGGAGCTTTTATCATTACGTGTTTGGTTCTTTCCCCAATATATTTTCAGTAAATGCCATTTCTTCATATAAAAGGATTTGTACAGAATTCTTTTCTATTTAACTTTAAATTGTTTAAATTACTTATACCTTTCATAGATTCCAGGATGACTTATTTGTATTAGCTGCTGTACCCCATCAGGAGTAGTTAACTTACACCAGCCTACATCTTCATTTACCTTAGAAGAAAAAAAATTGCAAGTATTAATTTTCTGCTGCAGTCTGAAGGAAAAAAAAGTAAGTATAATGTGACAATTTAAGAATTAAGTATCTATGAACATTCCACTTCAAACACTTGAAAGTTTGTGTTTTGTTAAGGATAGAATTTGGTATAGTCTGTTATAACAAATGCAGAGGCAGGGCAGGGGGACGAACACTTGGCATAGCCCCAAAGCTTATTTTGAGCTATTCAAGAATAAATTAATTTAGTGTGTAGAAATGTTTCCAAACCTGTAGAATTTTCAGTTCTTCCTCCTTTTATCATGAGTGAGTATACAGATTTGAGCTAGCTCACATCAGGAAGTTACACTGTATCTTTTGACACACTGACTATCATATTTATATTGTTTATTATAGAGATATCCTCATTTTAACATCTTTTTTGTGTCTTGTCATCTTAGGGTAATAAGCAAAGACACAGAAGCCAAAAGTCTCAGCAGTCAACCTTGAATCCCACACTCCCATAATTTTCTCTGTAGTGCCATTTTGCAAAAATCAACATAATCTTTTTACTTCTATATTAAGCATACTTAAAAACGTATATGCAAGGTTACTTTTCCAAGTAATTTTTCACTATCCATTTGCTCAGTTATAGATTATTTAAAATAAAAACCAAATACTCTCTTCTTTGGTCAATGTGAGTGACTTTATAAAAGGATAAAGTTTCATTTGCCCCTTTAGGCATCAGTTGTGCACTAAAGTATTTTTCCTCCTCGTTTCTGGTTAAAATACTGGCAATACATTAATGGTGGCATTTGCGGATAGTTCCTATTTTCATTCAGACTACTATACAAGTTCAAAAGTAAGCCACAGCAGCAAACTGCTGTGAGTCATGAATCTCTCAAAAGACTTCAGTTTGTATTTTATAGGCATCAAAACTTTTCTTTTATTTCCTCATTGGTTTCCTAGTTAACACCTTTTCATGAAGAGTTTTAAGAACAGTCATTCCTCTAACTCATGACTTACTTGGATTTTACTATAGAAAGAGCTGAAATCCCAGACCATATTCAAGGTCATCCCATCCCAAAAAGCAGCGTGGACTTTATGATCTGAGTACACAACGAGTCTTCCTATGGTGGGAACAACCTTTTCATACAGCAAAACTGGCAACATTTCTCGTCCATCTGCCTCAGGTACCTAAAACCATTGAAAATACATTGAAATGTATTCATTTCATTCTAATTCATTGAAAACTTGAGGAAAGGTTACTTACATCATTACAACTGTTTCTCTCTCTCCCAGATTTTCAATTCACTTGTTTTTCCAGACCACAACAAGCTCCCTTTGCCATGCAATTGCTTTCTGCTTCACAAATATACCTTGACACTGCATGCTTTTCGTTCCCAAATATATACACTCTGATCTTTGAGGATACACTCACCATTTTTCCCTCTAGATTAGGTCCTATTCCCTATAGCCTGTATAATCATCCTTGTAACACTGAAAGATTTATAAGCCTTCAGCTACATACCATTTTCCAGCAGCAGAGATAATAGTTATGAGTTAATGATAGTTTAGTCTTGTAGCAGTACTGAAGTATTCTGCGGAGAAAAAACCAAATAAAATAGTAAGCATTTCATACTTACTATGTCTTCTAAACAGTTGCGAGCTTTGTTTGGTAAGTTTATAGTTCTCCTCAGTGCTAATATAAATTCCTTTCATTTTTATACTTAATGTCATAATAAGTATTATGTGTAATTTTAACAAAGATAAAGTAGAGTAAAGTTACTTGGTTGCCTGAGTAATAGTGGAGGATATAGAGTACAGATTTCCTGGTACATCGGGAGGTAGGCTGTTTATTGAATACATCTTTTCTTCTCTCTGCAGTAAAGAGCAGAAAGGAGATAAGTTGGTCACAGGTACTGTAGCACAGAAACAGTATTAAGAGCTTGCAAGATATGAAATTTCTGAACTCCCATAAAGCACTTACAATCACATTTGAATTTGTCCCAGAACACAGATAAGTATCTTCTTGAAAAGTAAAAAAATGCAGCTGTATCCTTTAAGCCTACTTCTGTGCAGTTTCCATGCACTCAGTATGGACCAAGAAGTTCTCTTATCAGAGAGGAGACTATGAGTTACTGAGTAACTATGTTTGCCTACAAGTTAAAGGCTAGGTTTGAAGGGTACAAATTTGACTCTTTATTCTGCTTTAAAAATACAAAGCACCGCATAAGCACTTGAAAGGATCCCTACTCTGGGGAAACTTAACAACAGACAGACACAGAGAGGCAAAACCATTTCTCCAGCACGGAACAGCTGGTCTGTGGCAAAGTCAAAACAGAACCTGCATCTTCTAGGTTCTGTCTCCATATAGTAAAAAAGGAAAACACTGCCAAATACATAAAGATTAAATTCTAATCAATACAGACTGAACTTCTCTTCTAAATTAGTGACAAATGGTTATTGTAGAATCTTACTGCAGTACATACTTGAGCTTGTGAAATAAATGTTACAATGAATAAGATTTTTTCTTATTGTGTCTGTAATTTACAAAAATACATTCTGAAACAGAAGGAATAATATCATTTTTTGTATGATTGATTGCTTGATTCAGTCATTATAGTAATTACTAATGTCAGGACTTCACTATAGACTGCATAGCCAAATGTCTTAAAATTAAGAAAACTGCTAACTTGAAGGAATTTGGAACATATTTTAAAATAGTTTTATAGTTTTATACCTTTTTTGTACCTTTTTGGATTGCATAATGTACGAAATAGTTTCCCAAAAATGCTCCCTCTGACTTGAAAAATGAGTCATCACCAGGATAAATTTCTGTGATGTTTGTCCTACCATGGATAAATCTAAGAGAAATAACAAGATTTTTAACAAATATTTAAAATGCTGTGTCATTAGACAAGCAAAACAGGTCAGTACACTTGAAGAAAGCACTAAGCAGAAACACATTTTCAACACAACTCTCACATGAAAAACTTTCCACTGTTTCACAAACAGCAGAGTGTACCAATTATTCCTTTTAACACCGAAGATTAGCATTACCAGGCTCTTTGTTTGCATGGGGGGTGGGAGTTAAACGAGCTAAGGAAAGTTTTTTGTGTTGAGGTAAGTATATCACAAGAGCTGCTCATTCCACTGATCACAACATATAGTGATTCTAAAGAGAAAATCCAATCTTCTTAGTGGACCAGCACTAGCCAGTGCACACAGAGAACTGTCAGACTGAACTGTCAGACTGAACGACTGCAGGTCTTCATTTCCACTGCAGCTGTGCGTCTTTCACTAAGATCAATGGTCTTTTACTTGCAATCATACAGTATCTTGGAGCCCAAAACCCATTTAATGATCCAATTCTGCAACTCTGTGGCTAGATGCCTGGACTTTGGTAATGGGATTTAAAAGACTAAGTATGGCTACTCACCATCCTTCCAAAGAAATGAGGTATAATACTGAAGAGCTGCTAAACGTATTGTTCAGATGAGATGAAAATTTAGGAATTACACTGAGAAAAATTAAGAACGCTGGGCAGAAAGAGTAAAGCTTTAATGCTTTTATCAAAGACTTCTAGGTGCTGATAGTAACTGTAGCATTTTCAAAGTTTGTATAACAGATTTGAAAGGACAATTAAAAAAAAAAAAGTCTTTTTTTTTTTTTTAAAGCATATGAACAAGGTGATTTGCCAGGAAAATCCACAGTTTAGCTGCCTGCAACATGCAAATTGCGTAGATCACCAAGACAAATGTTTCTAAAGCGTGAAATCTTCAGCATCAAAAGGAGCAATGTAATTTGCAAAGAAACCAAGCACCGTAATTGTCAGTGAAGTCTGTGGGAGCTCCAGCTGTCCAGTAAATATTTAAGAAATCAGACAATCAGATCACTTCTTTAAAAGCCTTAAACATGACTTCAGCTTGATTGATACCCACTTTCAGACCTGGAAATATACTGTACTAGAAAATTTGAATCCAGTGAACAAACAGAAGAAATGAACAGATTCTTACATGAAGATTGTGTACAATTTCTCAGAGTGAGAAAGGGACAAAGTAAGACATTTCATCTTAAAGCTTAATTCCCATACAAACAAACTCTTCCAAAGATGAAATGCATGTTCTCCTACATACCTATAAAAAACACCCTGGCACCAGACAATTTTAATTAGCTGAGGGCACGAGTACTTTTCAGTATCTTCGTTCTGAAAGAAGTCACAGAAAGTCCACCTGTACAAAATACAACAAAAGCTCCAGTAAGTCCAAAGGTCAGGGGTTTTCTGTGTGCTGGCAATCATTTCTGTACGGAGAACAGATGCATGCACACCTAATTCAAAGGAAAAGAGGCCACATATTTTCAGAGTCCTCTGATTCCTTAGTTATCCATATTAATTACCAAATTAGTTTTCTCAAACCTGCAAAGGTTGTTTTGATTATTTCTAGTGGTGCTGACAGAGAACGTATGCTACTGGCCCACTTCAGAAGTATTACTTCTCAAAAATGAAAAAAACCCAAGCCAATCCAAAACCTGTGTTCTTTTTTCAGTATTTTCTTTTTCATTTACTTATTTATACAGCATGTCAGAAAATAAAATTTATTTTTCTCCAGACTAATTACTATATATTCATTACAGCAGGATACAGAATGTTGGTTTCACAAATTTTAAGTTTCAAGAAGTTCCTAAAAAAAAAACCCCATAGTAATTTTTTATTTTTTATAGCTAGAATTCAGTTATTTTGCTAGAGGTTGAAATTCCAAATTGCAGAATTGTAAAACGTATGTTAACAACTACAAAGTAAGCAGCTTAAATTACCTGTGTAAATGTGGGGCTCTGCAGCTGAGTGGCAAAGCTGTAGGTAAACGAGAAACTGCTTCACGTGTTTTGGCGTCTATTAAAACATCAGCTTCTATAGATGTATGTTTCTTTTTCTCACATGTATTCATTACATTCTTAACAGTATGTAAGTTATAGCACATTAGTGCCAACGACAAAGGGTATTTCCATTCTTCTGGGTAGGAGGAAACAGACCAACGCTGTGTAACCCATGTGTATTCAGAAGAACAATTTGTGTAGTACAAAGGGACTCCATCTCTGTCTCTTTTGTCCTTTGGCTTGGTTGTTTCTCTGTATTCACCTTCAGCATAACCACGTTCATTCTTCTTATTCTTTATTCTCGTTTGTTTTGATGACATTTCTGCAACAGAATTTTTACTTGATTTTCCAGACTGATAGTTGCAGTTCTTTTGAAAGCAGCGTAAGGATGCTGCAGATGACTGGCTGACTTTGCATAAGAACTCCACTGTAAAGTCTTGCTGCAATTCTGACAGGTAAAGGTGAGCATAACCATCTACTGACGAGATCTTCACACTACCATTGTCTATACATCTTGTCAGATCAACCGTAGCAGAGTCAGGCCATCTAATTTCTAAGATATCACTGAAAAGAATCTAATACAAGAAAAAAGATTGGAGTGTACAGCAAGATAAAAATGACGTGCTTTCCAGAAATTACAATGGAAGATTTACATTTAAATGAATTCAGTCCTTCTGCAAGATGACGTATGGCAAGGAACTCTACTGTCTATTTATTTGTGTACACGAACTCAAGAGGAAGCAAAATATCTAACCTTCTGTCCTGGTTCCGGCTGGGACA